ACACATACGTCGTCGCAACGTACAACGTGAATGTATCATCATTTCAACAATGTATATATTATATATATAGGGTGGTCCTTAATATGGACATTTTCGAAATTCTTTGCTCCCAAGGGCTCAAATGCTTCCAAAGTGATAAAAGAAAATTCTCTGAAAGATTTAGGTCGTAATATTAACATTTAGACAGTCCGCAAGTCAATTAAAAGTTAATAATAAATATACAAAACTTTTAATTGAATCGCGCACTATCTAAATGTTAATATTAAGAGCTGAAACTTTTATATTTTCTTTTATTACTTTGGAAGCATTTGAGCCCTTGGGAGCAAAGAAATTCGAAAATGTTCCTAATATATTTTATGTTAATTTAGGCAATCAAAGGAATTATGGCAATGGATCTAGCAGGTATAATTTTCGGATGGAAATTCTTTGACCACGCTGCCCATTTAGGAGGAGCCCTAACAGGAATGTAAGTCCCTACCGAACCAAAACAAAACTTCCAAAATGTATCATTTATCTCTTTTTAGATTTTGGTGTTACTTCGGCCACCAGTACATTTGGCAAAAACGTGACCCCATAGTTAAGTATTGGCATAAATTACGCAACGGAGAACTTAAATAATAAATTTATATTTTGTGTATAGAATTATTTTAACAAGGTTTTAATACAACTGTTTTTTTAAATTTTAAAACATTAAAAGAGTATTTATATTTATATGTATATATATATATACGTGGTCTGTTCAAAAAGTACCCGGAATTACTAATAATTAAATTTCGCGGGTCTGGAGTGTCTGATTGTCAAAATTTTTTTTTATTGTGTTGGTATACATGCCCCTAAAGTATGATGAAATTTTCAGCTATATTCACTGTTTACTTTGTCTGTGGTAGTCGCTAAGGTTCGACGTGTTTTTCTGAGCTCGGCGATTTTTACAATGGAAGAATTGAAAAGTCAAAGAATTTGTATTAAATTTTGCGTAAAAAATGAAATAAAGTGTTGCAAAGTGCAAAAATTCACCAGATATGGCTCCGTGTGACTTTTTCCTATTCCCAAAGTTGAAGGGACCCATGAAAGGACGGCGGTTTTCCTCGATTGAAGAAATAAAGGCCGAATCGCTGAGAGTGCTCAAGGACATATCAAAAAGTGAATATCAAGGGTGCTTCGAAAATTGGAAAAAACGCTGGCATAAGTGTATTATATCTGGGGGGGACTACTTTGAAGGGGACCACATTAATGTAGACGAATAAATAAATATTTTATATTTATATACGAAAATTCCGGGTACTTTTTGAACAGACCACGTATATATATTAGGTTGTCAAATATCTCCCTTCCGCTTTTTTGCTATTGGTTTATAATACAAAAAGGCGGAAGGGAGATATTTGACAACCTAATATATATATACACCTAAGTCTGTTTTTACACGGTCTTTTTGTACGCGGTTTTGATATAACACGGTTTGAAAATTGAATATTTTTAATTTTTTTACACGATTTTATTCCATTTAGCACGATTTGAAATTTTATGTACTTAAATTTTTTTTGTCAAATTTAATTTTTGCGAAGTATGTTGATATCACAAAAAAGTATTTATGAAAGAAAAAAGTCTGAAACCATCGATAGTATCGATAGTTTGCGAACAGAAATATAAATACAAATTTCATTTTTTACATTATTATTATTATTAGTTTGAAAATGTATATCAGCTGTACTGTATATAGTTAAGAACTATAATTTTAGCATAATATTCCTAAACGTATATACTTTACTTACAAATTACAAAATTTAATAGTTTTTCAACAAAATATTAAAGATATTAACCAAAAACTAAAAATGTGCACTTTAAAAAGTAAAGATGTAATTTATTTTTTTATAAAAAACTGCCATTTTTGCACATTTAGCTCGGTATCTCCGAAACGACTGGACCTGCCTTTGCCAAAAACTAATCACCTCTTCTCCCAATCATTACAAATTGAATGTTTTGTAGATCATACAAATCGGATACTCCGTTCTCTCAAAAATTCGATTTCTATTTTCTGCACTCTTTGCTCTGTATCTCCGTAATGGCTGGACCTGCCTTTGCCAAAAACTAAACAGCATATCTCCCTATCAATAGAGATCGAATGCTTTTTAAACCATTCAAATCGGTTGATCCGTGCGCCCGAAAACGTGGACAAAAAATTGTATACACACATACACAAACACATCCATTGTTCCTAAGGTATGCCAAAATGTTCCGAAACTTCTGAAACGGAAAGATATGCAAAAATGTTCAATTTTGACTTTAGGACTATTACAATAACTTACCCTACGGGAAGTTAAAAATGAACTCTACTGACGAGCTATCTTGTCGAAGAAACTGATGAATTGCTGCATTTGTGAAATAAATTACTCTGTACGTATCAGAGACATGGATTCTTTTAAAAAAAGGACTCTACTGACGAGCAAAATGTAACATTTAAAGTTCAACTCAGATAAAAGGACTCTACTGACAATCTCACCTAACTTCAGACAAAATTGATGAAATGATATATTTGTTTGTAGACTCTATGCATTTTTGAAATATGGACCAACTCATATAAAAGAAACTTTACTGACGAACAAAACAAATCACTTCTTGTTAACTAATAAAATGCTACATTTGGCGTTTTGTGCATTTGGAAAAAGAGAACTCTACTTATTTACTTGAGATAAGTAATTAATCTATGATCTAAAAAAACATTCAATTTGTAATGATTGGGAGAAGAGGCGATTAGTTTTTGGCAAAGGCAGGTCCTGCCATTTTGAAGATACAGAGCTAAATGTGCAAAAAATGGCAGTTTTCGAGTGAACTAAGCGTCCGCTTTGAATGATCTAAAAAACTTTCTGTTTGTATTGACATAACAATTGCTTTTGAGGATAAAAAATACTTTACATTTTTTTTTTTATTTTCCATACAATATTTTTGTAATTTTGAATTAAAAATTTAAAAAAAATCACCCAGGCTAAGCACAGTCTAAGCGCCACTCTGGTACCAATGTTCACCCGAGTGCGTTTAGACTGTTTATGTATTGGAGCACTTTTCCAATTTTGTGAAACCTCTATTGAATGAAAATGTGAAAATGCCGTCAAGCTAAGCACAGTATAAGTGAAAATGTCGCACAGAATTATTTGCAAGTGCGTTTAGACTGTGACTATACGGGAGCACTTTTTCAATTTTGTGTAAATTAGGCAACTTTCAAATTTTTTTGAAATTGAATTCGAAATGAAATGACGATTGTTGTTAATGTTCTGGAGATAAATTGATTTATGATTTATGATTTACATTTGATTTGCTCAGATATAACAAGATAATGCAAAAATAATGAAAGTTACAGAGTATTTGTAATAATATACTATATATATTTATTGTTTTAAGTATTTCATGTGGTGAGCGATATGCTCTTGAACGAAGGAGGCTATATAATAATAACTGTGGTCGTAATTAGCACGATTGGTCATCAGACATGCGACATTGGTGTTATCTTTGCAAGCGTCCAGGAAGTTTTCGGGTAGTAGCTGTTTGGCAGCAAGGAATTCGTCTTTGGTTCCCTGTGATAATAAATCGTAACTATCTATCTATCTATGTATCTATCTATCTATCTAATCTCTTACCTGGTCGATGAAAATCTCTAGTGGAGGTCCACTGTATTTCTTAACTAATTCGGTTGCGTCCCATTCGTTCCAATTGCCGGTTTCTTGAGGACCTAAGTAACCGCTCAAAGCCTTCTGGCCCCATGGACATTTTATCGGATTGCAAATTGGTGCAAAAGCACTAACAGACTTGTACAATCCTGGACATTTCAGAGCACATATCAAAGCACCGTGACCACCCATGCTAAAAAACATAAAACAAACACGTTTTAGTTACAATTACACTTTTCCTTTCCTTAAAATTCATTTTACCTATGTCCGAATATCCCCTGTTTATCGCTCAACACAGGAAAATTCTCACAAACTAAATCAACCAGCTCTTTCGTAACATACGAGAACATTTTATAGTTATCCTTCCAAGGTGCTTCGGTAGCATCCACATAAAATCCGGCACCGGTTCCAAAATCCCAACTCTCGTCTTCTTTGGGTAAACTTAAACCCCGTGGGGAAGTATCCGGACAGACAATGATTACACCCGTGCTCTGAAGCATACCTAGATAAAAAAACAATATTTATAAACAATCTATAATGAAACAAAAACAATTATATCAAATCTATTATAAAGTATCATTTATCCCTTACCTTTGGGCACCGGCTTTGTGTATAAAGTTTGTTTCGTTACAAGTTAACCCCGAAAGCCAGTATAAAACAGGCACTTTTCCAGTCTCAGCTTGTGGTGGCAAGTATATTGCGAATTTCATGGAGCACCCTACGGTTTTTGAATCGTGGGAAAACACTTTCTGCCATCCGTCGAAGGAGTAGTTTGCTGATAATTCGTTTAAAGCCATCTGATAAAAGATTTAATCATATACATTATTATATTAAAAATTAGTATATATAAAGTTGCTATTGGTTTTTGGAATAAAGTTTTAAGCTGTTAAATATAATTTAATATATATTTCTTTATCTTTTTGTTTTGTAAAATTCTAACCTCAAATTTTTGCAATCGCCGGTTTACCACAAATTTTCTTGTTACACTTCAAGATAAACTTTTAAAATAATTTTCACAAGAAATTATTACTAAAACTACTATTAAATACCTTGCAATTGATAAAAATCTATTAAAAATTGTGCAATTTGATATCTATTTATTTTGATAACAGAAGATGGCAAAGTTCAAGGTAAATAAAAGTTGACAGTTCAGGAATCCATCTTTGAAAACGAACCGCGAAATTTGAATTTCAAATTAAAACAATTTTATATTTTGTTTTGTGAACATAGAAATTAATAAAATTAATAGTAAATATGTATCAGCATATATATATATATATATATATATATATAACATTTATAAACACACGTAATACAATTTCCAAACTGACAACATGTTTGTTTGTAATAAGCTTTTTTATAATAAAATATATCATTTATTTTAATTTTACAATTTTTTTAAATTTCCATAACTCGACGTTTTATCAATTTTTATTTCATATTTATTTTTTTCGTGCAATTTTTTGTGTTTTTGTGTTATTTTTTCAAAGTTTATTTGTATGCACTAAAGATGGGTCAAATCAAGACCCGAAACGTATGTTCTCTAAATAAAAACATTTTTCATTAAAACTGTTTTTCAATTACTCGACAACTTTTAGACAATATTTTATATGTTTATATATAAAATAATGCAAAAAATAGCCAAATCATATTCTTTAAACTCCTTTTATAGTCAGAATATTAATTATGAAAAATGGTGCTTATAAATTCAAAATTATTGTAAGTATGCACATGACTAAAAACCTTTATTAGTTTCAATTTATAACTTTTTAACTAGATTCCAAACATTTCTATAATGTCATTTTTAAGTAAATTTATTGAAAAATACCAAATAAACATATTAAATATAATATATATATATATATATATATATATACACATTTATATATTTAATTTAGACAAAATCCACAAACATTCCTGTAGTTATACACATGTATAAATCGATATATACATTTATATATTGAATTTAGACAAAATCCACAAACATTCCTATAGTTATACACGTGTATAAATCGATATATACATTTATATATTTAAGTTAGACAAAATCCACAAACATTCCTATAGTTATACACTTGTATAAATCGATATATACATTTATATATTGAATTTAGACAAAATCCACAAACATTCCTATAGTTATACAAGTATATAAATCAATATATACATTTATATATTTAATATAGACAAAATCCACATACATTCCTATAGTTATACACATGTATAAATCGATATATACATTTATATATTGAATTTAGACGAAATCCACAGACATTCCTATAGTTATACACGTGTATAAATCGATATATACATTTATATATTGAATTTAGACAAAATCCACAAACATTCCTATAGTTATACACGTGTATAAATCGATATATACATTTATATATTGAATTTAGACAAAATCCACAAACATTCCTATAGTTATACACGCGTATAAATCGATATATACATTCATATATTTAATTTAGACAAAATCCACAAACATTCATATAGTTATACACGTGTATAAATCGATATATACATTTATATATATAATTTAGACAAAATCCACAAACATTCATATAGTTATACACGTGTATAAATCGATATATACATTTATATATATAATTTAGACAAAATCCACAAACATTCATATAGTTATACACGTGTATAAATCGATATATACATTTATATATTGAATTTAGACAAAATCCACAAACATTCCTATAGTTATACACGTGTATAAATTGATATATACATTTATATATTTAATTTAGACAAAATCCACAAACATTCCTATAGTTATACACGTGTATAAATCGATATATACATTTGTATATTTAATTTATACAAAATCCACAATCATTCCTATTGTTATACACATGTATAAATTGATATATACATTTATATATTTAATTTATACAAAATCCACAAACATTCCTATAGTTATACATGTGAATAAATCGATATATACATTTATTACTTTATTTCATTCACATACTTAGTACATTCAACAATAATTGGTATATAAATTTTCTGCAACAATTACAAATTAGGTTCCATTTAGTCTCCAACTCATTGCTCCAACATTCCTTTACCTCAATCATCATCGATCTCATCGACCTCTTCCCTGTCCTCGATAGTCTCCAAACTTTCCTCCTCCTCAGTGACTTCACTCTCGACAAACGAACCAATTTCAGAAGCCCTTTCTTCCAAATCAGAGCCCCGAACAGTGCTGGTCTCAATCGAGGAATATTCTATTGAAGCTGCAAAGTCGACACTCCAAAGACCACCAGCACTTTCTTCGCCCTCGACTTCACTTCCCAAAGAGACTTCTTCGAAACGTTGTTGAGAGGCTGATCGAGGCTCTGGGGCTCCTTCGACGAGACTCTGTTTGGCCGTACGGATATCCTAAAGAAATAAATAGATAGATAACGAGTAATGTGGTTGTTTGTTACAATTATTACCGTTATCACTCCGATTTGTTGTTCAGACACAGTCATCTCCGAAGACGGTGGAGTGAATCCGAGGTCACCAATTCTGTACATAGCAGCCAAAGATGCAACAGTCTCATCCGAGGTCACCAATTTGAGTTCCTTCAAATCTTTGGAACTTGCAAGCAACTTCTCGAGGTCGAGAAGAATTTTGTAACTCTTTGCAAACTTTTCCTCCATCTGCATCGCTTTGTTATTGCAGTAACTTAGTACCGCTTTCACCTTAAGTAATAGATAGATGTAAAATCACAAATAACAAAAAAAAAGGAGTTGATTGTCTTATAGAGGGATAGAGTAGTCAGAAAAGGTTCTAGATAGTCTAAAAGTGTTCTAGATTATCTAAAATCGTTCTAGAGAGTCTAAAAGTGTTCTAAAGAGTCTTAAAGAGATCTAGAGAGTCTAAAAGTGTTCTAGAGAGTCTCAAAGCGTTCTAGAGAGTCTAAAAGTGTTCTAGAGAGTCTAAAAGAGTTCTAGATAGTCTAAAAAAGTTGAATAATATTTTAGATGATCTAAAAATATTTCAGAAAAAGTTCTCTTCTTAAAAATATTTTAGATGCTTTAAAAATGTTTCAAAAATAGGTCTTGGTAGTTCAAAAATGTTCTATATAGTCTACAAATGTTCTAGATAATCTAAAAATGTTCTAAATAATGCAAAAATGTTCTAGATAGTCTAAAATAATTGAAAAATCTTTTAGATGATCTAAAAATGTTCTTGATAGTTTAAAAATGTTCTAGATAGTCTAAAAAAAGTTCTAGATAGTCTACAAAAAGTTGAAAAATATTGTAGATTATCTAAAAATGTTCTAGATAGTCTAAAAATGTTCTAGATAGTCTAAAAATGTTCTGAATAGTTTAAAAATGTTCTAAATAATCCAAAAATGTTCTAGATAGTCTAAAAATGTTCTAGATAGTCTGAAAAAAGTTGAAAAATATTTTAGAAAATCTAAAAATGTTCTAGATAGTCTAAAAATGTTTTGGTTAGTCTAAAAATATTCTAGATAGTATAAAAAAAATTGAAAAAGGTTCTAGATAGTCTAAAAATATTCTAGATAGTCTAAAAAAGATGTGAAATGTTTCAGATGATCTAAAAATGTTCTAGAGAGTCTAAAATGAAATTTTATTTTGAAAAATCTTTTAGATGATCTCAAAATGTTCTTGATAGTTCAAAAATGTTCTAGGCAGTCTAAAAAAAGTGGATAAATATTTTAGATAATCCAAAAATGTTCTAAATGATCTAAAAATTTTCTAGATAGTCTAAACAAAGTTGAAAAATATTTTAGGTAATCTAAAAATGTTCTAAATAGTCTAAAAATGTTCTAGATAGTCTAAAAATATTCTAGACAGTCTAAAAATGTTCTAGATAATCCAAAAATGTTCTAGATAGTCTAAAGAAAGTTGAAAAATATTTTAGATGATCCAAAAATGTTCTAGATAATCTAAAAATGTTCTAGATGGTTGAAAAATATTCTGGATAGTCTAAAAATGTTCTAAATAATTCAAAAATGTTCTAGATAGTCTAAAAAAAGTTGAAAAATGTTTTAGATCATCTAAAAATGTTCTAATAAAATTTCTGTTCGTCTGTAGAGTCCCTTTTCTTAACATTATTAAAAAAAATCAGTTTGCTTGTCAGTAGAGTCCCTTTTCTTAAAATCAATATTTTTAGTTTGCTCGTCAGTAGAGTCTCTTTTCTTAACATTATTAAAAAAATCAATTTGCTTGTCAGTAAAGTTCTTTTCTTAACCACTTAACGGTCAAATATTGATAATTTGCTAATTTAAAGAGTTACTTCTTTCAACATGTGATAAGTTTTTTCAGTTCCATAATTTGAATATTGATAGTATTTTTTAGTTTGCTCGTCAGTAGAGTCCCTTTTCTTAACATAATTTAAAAACGATCTAGATAGTCTTAAAATCCATATGTAAAGTGAAAAGTGTAAAATATAATACTCTACTAGCGAGCAAACTTAAGAGAAGGGACTCTACTGAAGAAAAATTCATGAATATTGAGAAAAGGGACTCTACTGACGAGCATATTGAAGAGAAATTATCAATGTTAAGAAAAGGGACTCTACTACTATTACTAAAAGTTAAGATTGTGCAATGCAAAATTAATTAAACTTAGCCAAATAAAATATTAATTATATTAATTTTATTAATTATATAATTGGATAAAGTGCTTGTACTGATGAGTGAACTGAATAAAATGTTATCATTGTTAAAAAAAGGACTCTACTGTCGAGGATTAAAATATAATTTTACATATTTCTATAATTGTATCTGACCTAAGATCAAAAATATTTGATTCCATCATGGATTTTATATTGGTCTTCAAAAAGAGGACTCTACTGACAAGCAAATTGGAAATAAAATATCAATGTCATGAGAAGGGACTCTACTATAATAATAGAAATAGAGAAAGATTGAAATAATTCGTTTGATCAAAGATATTTGATAACTTTACTGGAAAGAGTGATTTTATTAAGAAAAAGGACTCTACTGACCAGCAAATCAATTTTAATGAAGGGACTCCACTGACGAGCAAACTGAAAAATATCAATTTTAAATGAAGGGACTCTACTGACAAGCAAACTAAGAAAAGTTATCAATATTTATCAATATTTAAGATTTTAAGATTTTAAGAAAAGGGACTCTACTGACGAGCAAACTGAAGAATATTATCATTGGTAAAAGAAAAGACTCTACTGACAAGCAAACTAAAAAAAGTTATCAATATTTATCAATATTTAAGATTTTAAGATTTTAAGAAAAGGGACTCTACTGACGAGCAAACTGAAGAATATTATCATTGGTAAAAGAAAAGACTCTACTGACAAGCAAACTAAAAAAAGTTATCAATATTTATCAATATTTAAGATTTTAAGATTTTAAGAAAAGGGACTCTACTGACGAGCAAACTAAAATAAAATTATCAATGTTAAGAAAAGAGACTCTACTGAAGAGCAAACTAAGAAATATTATTGTTAAAAGACAATATTATTGTTAAAAGAAGGGACTCTACTGACGAACAAACTGAAGAATATTATCATTGGTAAAAGAAAAGACTCTACTGACGAGCAAACTAAGAAATATTATTGTTAAAAGAAGGGACTCTACTGACGAGCAAACTGAAGAGAAATGATCAATGTTAAAAGAAGGAACTCTACTGACGGTAATAAATTCCATGATCTGTTTCCTTACCGATAGCAAGGTGACTTTGATAATGTTCTTCCTATGTCCAGAAAGTTTCTTTTCAAACTCGTTTTCCCTCTTCTGTTCTGCAATGGAGCACCTCAAAGCATGCAAATTCTGCTCGGCAACTCTCTGTCTAAAAATTGTATTTTGCAACTTGAGTTGTGTGTCTTTCAAAGCAATATTGTCTCTCGTTGCTTGTTGCTGGAGACGATTTGCTGCATCTACCTAAATAAAGTGCCTTTAAGGTTCACATGCTATTGAAGTAAAACTTTTTTGTTATCACAGGATGGCATTTCAATTGTAAATAAATACATTATATAACAATTTTGAATAATATGCTTATTAGTAATATGGCAACACTCGCGATGCACACATTTATTAGTGTCAACCAATATACACATTTATATAATGATAAATTATAAATTTTATATTTATAATAGCATTTAAATATGTATAATATTTACAAACAATAATGTAATCAAAGTCGTACTTGAAATATGACATGATCGTTTTAAAGTAATTGCTTATTAATAAATTCTATAATATTCATTCACACAGTGGATTATGTTAAACAACGCCTAAACAAATATTGTTTTTGCAAATTAACTCATCCTGTAATAATTGTGTTTGAAGAACTTCATGTAATGAAAATTAACATACATTCATTGACTGCTTGAATTTTTTTTTACTTTTGCGCTGGCGATATAATCTCATTCTTTGAACACCTGAAATATCTGTCTAGCCTATAAAAATATTTTCCATTTGAATAACTTCAAAGATTTATAGAAGCTAAGAATAATATAGAAACCGCACAAATGTAAACTAGCTGTAAGTGGAATTTCTTGAGGCAATTATGGCATCGTGCCTTAAGGCAAATTGCTGGAACTTCCCGCACCGTAACGAAATGTTCGTGGAATACTGAATGTTTTCAAATAGATTATTATGAATATTGTAACATTGTGTAATATTTATAAGAATTATATAAACCGAATTGCAGAGTTGAAATTATTTGTAAAGTATATTAGAACTATAGTCAGAATTAAAAATAAAATCTGAAATATTTTCGATATACAAAATAAAAAAAAAAAAAAAAAAAATTGGAACAAAATTTTTTTTTCAAAATCAATTATTTTGTTAAGACAAGCAGAAAGTTCTTTGAATCATTTAAATCGGACGCTTAGTTCTCTCAAAAACTGCCATTTTTTACATATTTAGCTCCGTATCTTCAAAATGGCTGGGCCTGCCTTTGCCAAAAACTAATAACCACTTCTCCCAATCTTTACTAATTGAATGTTTTTTAGATCATTCAAATCGGATAGTCCGTTCGCTCAAAAATTCGATTTCTATTTTCTGCACTCTTTGCTCCGTATCTCCGAAACGGCTGGACCTGCCTTTGCCAAAAACTAATCAGCTCTTTTCCCTATCAATAGGAATCGAATGTTTTTTGAACCATTCAAATCGGTTGATCCGTACGCCCGAAAACGTGGACAAAATTTGTATCCATACATACATACACACACACACACACACACACACACATCCATTTTTTCTGAGGTATGCCAAAATGTTCAGAAACCTTCAAAACGTCGAGAAATGTAAAAATTTTCAATTCCGATTTTCGGCCCATTACAATAACTTACCCTACGGGAAGTTAAAAAAAAAACGATCTTAGATAAAATCTACGGTACACAATTTTTCTTTATATAAAATAAAACATTTATAACTTAAAAAATCCAAAACAATTTAAAACAATATTTTCTGAGCACATATTAACTTCAAACACGCTTTTAATACTGACCATCCTGTAATTTTATATAAAGAAAAAAAATGCGGACCATGGAAGATTTTCCGAATCTTGTTTTATCTTTTTAAATTCAAATGATGTAAATAAACGTAGTTTTTCTTGCTTACTTTCAGAAACCTATCAAAATGTAATTAATTTCTGTAAATCTGATTTTCTATCACTCCCCTGTTTTTTCCTGGTTTGGTATTTAGAATCTCATTTGTTAATTGTTATATTATTAATTCTAAAAATTTGTTTCCTTGTAGTAGTATAAAAAAAATTATGAACGCAAATGAGTTTAAATTATGCAAATGAGTTCTTCCAGAGTACTAACTTTGAAAAAAATATATAATTTGCAAAAAAGGGCGCTATAACGCCAAAAAGTGCATTTTCAAACTAACATTTCAAAAAAGTTGATATTGTTGAGTTTGTAGTAACATTTGCGATCCGTTGAATAACGTTTTTGTGTATAAATACAATTACAAACAAAAGTACACACTAAATTTAAATAATATTCATCTAAAATACTATATTAAATTTAATTGAACATATGTCAAAACCATTTGACATTCGACGTAAAAGCCCGCCGTCTATAATTTTATTTAAATTTCGCTTCTACATAAAATTTCAAATTAAAAAAGTAAAGTTTCTACGCGGTTTTGAAATAATATCTCACCTTTCCCACAATCTCTGGATTAACACGAATATTTCAAGACTAAAAGTGGCCAAATCGGTTCAGCCGTTTTCGGGTTTTAGCGAATCTAACATAACATAGAAATAGCTATACTACCAAACCAGGAAAAACAACAGAAAAAACTAAATAATTATGTAAAATTTATTGAGCAAATAAATAATTTATAAATAATTGAATAAATAAAAATTGTTTTAGATCATTATTTAATTGTTTTCTGTTGTTTTTCCTGGTTGGTATGTATAATTTTCTCCTTTTTATATATTTATATTTATTATCAACTTTGTATTTATTGTAATATGTTTTTTAGATGGCTGAATGATGACACGCATCAAGTGCCGAAACGTTGACAACACACACACACACACACACATATATATATATATATATATATATAAATTTTGTCTTACTTTCAACAAGCATTCAGTCTTGTCTCTAAATTTCTTGAGCAATCCTTCTGCATAAAATTCGAACGATGGAGAT